GAAACTGTGTGAGAATACTATGTAAATAGCAAATGACACGGCTTAATGTTATACTTTCAGTGACCCGCAGTTTCAGTCTTATATCCCATATACTGTAAATCATTAAGCCTCTTTTTCCTCTCTTAGGTGATATTGTTGCAACAGAATCCGCCTGGATTCTAGGAAACAGTTACTATTATGAGGACGAGTATCTGTACGACGATTATGACCCAAGTTTCGAAGGACGATTTGACGAGGTATGCAGAAATTTCACACACACACACACACACACACACACACACACACACACAGAGAGAGAGAGAGAGAGAGAGAGAGAGAGAGAGAGATTTCCAAGTGTAAAAGATTCGTAAACATGATAGAAGTTACCAAGATAATTATGGTTGTGGTGAAACAATATGTTTCTCCTTTCATAAATTAAAGTATTTATTATTTCAGGTGTCATTTTATAACAGAGTACTCTCAGCCGAGGAGATTGGGGAATTATGTTCACAATAAGGGCCAAGACCAGAGCCCACTTGAGAATGATTGACAGCTGACAAGGATAACTCAGTCCATCCCAATTCACGTTGAACATTACCCCAAACTAAGTTCTTCCATTCATCAGATCAGTGACATATACATCCTATAAAAACTTTCCAACCAAAGCATATTTAAAACAACAGAGGTATAAACGCATTATACGTACAACAACGTGTCAACTGTCTGGAGGCAAATATATATTAGGATACAGGGCGGTCCTTCTCAATTTTGTTCTTCAAACGTTGCGTCTCGTATCGGCACTCTGGATGATATTTGAAAATGTGTTTTATATGGTGATATATGCACAAACAAGTGCCCGGCGTCTACTAAGCAGGTTTAATTGAGATTCTGATTTCAGTAATTAAATGAAAATGAACACATTCTGTTATTTCACTACCATGTAGAAGTTAGCGGTATGTTAATTAGGTATAAAATGTTGTCACGCTTGTTTTGATCAAATAAAGACGAAATAAATGACTGAATAAAGACTGAAATGTGTGGTTTGTACCTTTATGTCAACATAATGACTGCCCTTCGGTTTTAAATTGTTACTGGCACTACCAGATTTTTTATGCATGCAAGACCATTTTCTGTTGATACACTTAAAGAGATAACTTGTCAAATTAGATTCAAAATTCTAAAATAAATACATTGTAAACAAACAAAAAAAAACTTTTGGTGTGGGCGTTTGTTTAGAAAGACATTTCAAACATTTGAAAAAGTGAAAACAAGTACGGTTTGGAAATATATGAGATTTAATTGAATCCCAAAATCAACATTACAATTGCGTTTTCGTTCGTTATGAAACGAGAAATTTTAATGTATGTTCGATATCTAACACTTTTAGTGTGACCTACCGATATAATTTTAGATAAAATAGCAATTGCATGGTTTTTGTATTCCATCATCACTAGTTTTTTAATTTAAATCTAGATAATTGGCATCAGCAGCACTGTTAGAGACGACAAAGTGGTGCCCCCTGGCTTATAATTTGTCAAAGAAAAAACATATCCCCATTGCGAGTTATCTACTGTACTTTGCATTTTAAGTCAAAATTTCAGTGAAATAGTTTCAACTACAATGGCACGGGTCATCGTAAAGGGTCAATAGTCGAAATAATGTTTCAGCAGTTTTGTCAAATGAAATGTGTTTTAGCTTTACATTGATGGCCCTTTCGTGTTCTTGGGTATTTGAAAATTTATTTGAGTTTTTTTTTTTACCTAATTTAACTTAATTGGCAAGATTAAACCGTACACTAAAATTAGAATTCAATATCTAAATTATACCATGCAGTGCAGTCAATTGTAAAAGATTAAATTTTTATTGGGAGAGTGCAGTCATGGCTACTTAAAGTATTAAAATGAGAACCGTAAACGCGTTGCAAGCATGCACGAGAACCTACACGCGTCGCTGGCAATCATGCCATTGGTCACCCAATGAAAAGCATTAACCTTATGAGTCCTGCAATGGTTCAAAGGTCATAGAGTAAAATTCCTGTAACCAATTAATGTCTAGGGGTAGACGGCCCGATGGGGACAGATAGTCCTCTGGGGACAGATAGACATGACTGTCGTTATTAAAACGCTTTATTTGTGAATTCCATATAACAGCAGTGCAATGTCTACCAGAATATACATAAATCATTGGACATATTAGCAAATACCATGACATCAGTGAGTTCAGTTTTCTTTTGAATTGCTTTCCACACGTTTAAAGAGCGCCAAAACCATTCCTGAAAAATGCTGTGTCGAAAACGAAGGCAAAAGTAACACGGCCATTCCTTTTGCTTTTCAACCCTGCTGTGATATGTTCCTGGTTGTCAGAACTGCTTTAGAATCATTTAGTGAATTTTGGAAAGAAAACAAAAAAGTGCCATCTTCAAATTACACGTTTTACGTTGTTAAAAGGCTGCTTATTGATGTTACAGTCTTACTCGATAACTAAGTCGTACTTTTGTTTGTTAATGACTTCCCCGCAGGCGATATAACTTTTTGTTTTTTAACTTTTTTTACTTTTAAGTTGCCTTTTTATAGTCTGGACTACTTTAAAGAGGTATCCTGTTTGGCGAATTTAGCCCATAATTCCGGATTACGGTACTAGATACCTGAGAACGAACAAAAACATTTTTCCATATCTCAAGTAGAACAGAGGAATGAGACGTGGGGGGGGGGGGGGGGGG